CACACACACACACACACACACACAGACGCAGACGGAACTGGATACATGCGCACACACACACACAAGCATTAACTGGACACAGACAGAACTGGATACACACACACACACACACACACAGACACAGACGGAACTGGATACATGCGCACACACACACACACACACAAGCATTAACTGGACAGAACTGGATACACACACACACACACGCACAGACACAGACGGAACTGGATACATGCGCACACACACACGCACACACACACAGACACAGACGGAACTGGATACATGCGCACACACACGCACACACACACACACACAGACACAGACGGAACTGGATACATGCGCGCGCACACACACACACACACACACACACACACACACACGCATTAACTGGATGTAGCCTAATGAAAAAAAACTGACTTCTGTATATTTGAGTTACCTTTGATAGATCCCTGAAGTTGCCTGGAAGGGTCAAGTCCAATTCTTCCGATTCATAGTTTGTTAACACCCATGGAAACACGGGGTATTGGTTCAAGTCATTGTATGTCCGTCCTAGAGAAAAAAAGAGAAATGAAAATCTGTAGACACTAATGGCTTATGAAATCGTACCTATTCTTATAATACATAGGCAACTATTGAATTTCAGAAGAAAAGTAACTTGTTTATTGAACTATGTCTTTGTTTACTCTAAAGCACTCTAATAACTATGGGCTTCAAGCGAATTCACTCAATAATGACTCAGAAATGAGCAACTGCGACTACCCTTAATAATACAAGCTTGCGGTAGAGAGTGCTGGCTGTTGATCACAGTGGATCTCTCTTCTTGGGCTAGACCACATTTCTCAGCCTTCCCTGTCAGTCGCTATGGCCGCGGGACTTCGTTCTAATCTCCAGAGCATGGGTAGAAGAGACATGAGCCACCTGCCACCCTGGCCAACGGCTCCCTGCTGCACGGGTGCCTCTAGATTCCACCCCTCTTCTGCTGACTGTGAGGTAACAGTGGCACCTTGGAAGCAGAAGCTCGTTGGCCAGCGGCCCTGAAAGTGATCACAGAGGTCATCCTGGAGACCTGCACATTTTCAGGTCACGTGACAGTGTTCCACTCTAATGAGTGCAGATCTATAACTACATTATAGATATGTGAGTATCGATCTATACTTATAATTCTAGATCTCTATACAAATATCTATACTTGATAGATGTATATACACGTATAGGTCTATAATTATTATATCAACACAGAGTACAGAATACTGTATTGAGCTTACATCAAGGATCAATGTAGAGAATCTGCAAGTTAGCAGAAGTGCTGTGAAGCCAGTGTGAAAAAGGAGAGGCAGATGTCACACCTATTTTTTCATCCCTCAAGTTCATGAGGTTTTTTTGTTATTGCTTTGGTATTATGTTGTTTCACTTTAGTGGAGAGCTGTTGGGCCCTGGGTGGGCTTTGCCATTTACTTTTTGATAGAAGGACTAGTTCAGGTAGGGTAATGAGGCATAGGGGTGGCTCACCTTCCTAAACTGGTGCTGAGGTATCATCTGAGCAGAGGAAATTGAGAGACTCCCCATTAAAGAGCCAGGGTCCAAAGAAAACTTTGGTTGGGCAACGTTAGTTTTTGCAAAAATATGTTATGAACTGATCATGGGTAACTTTCTAAATCCCCATTCAAATTCATACAAAATAGCGATACAGATTTCATCTAGAGTGCCTTGGTGCACGTGCCACATACAGTGTACTGGTCACGGGGATATGCACGCACGTCTTGTCCATTATCAAGAACTGGCCTTGGTGATATACCTACCCCTGCGGGAGCTGGTGAATGTGGCTGTGAGACACGTACAACCAACCGCAACCTGAAAAAGGACTAAATCTGCACCTCTTACAAGCATCAAAGCAAATTGCTTAACTCACTTAGTATTTTACTGGGCGGCTATTTTATCTGTTTATTATATGAATTTCTGCATTTTACAACAAAATGACATGTTATTGTAAATGTGTGAATTGATGTGGAGATCTATTGTAAATGGTGGGAACTGACAGGAAACAGCATTTTTCTTTCTCTTTGCAGTTCCTGGAATGCGGGGAGTCAGGCCAGGGTCCCCTTTATTCTCTCACCACTGCGCTGGTGCAGATGTGTGTCCCGCTAACACCCATCGCTGCCTTCTCCTCTGCCTCCCCATTAGTCTGAAAACGTGAATGTGGAGTCTGGGGTCTTGTTTTGTTTAAACCTCTGTGTATTGGCACACACAGTTTGCCCAATAAATGTTTATTGAAGGAATGAATACATACGTGATAAAATGAGACAAATTTTAAAACATGAAAGCTACGGTCCTGCCTCTTTGGAGGCAGAGAATCACGCTGAGGCACCGTGAGTGTGCACGCACAGTGAGAGGGAAATGCGTGAAGCGACATAGCTCAGCCAGTGAGTGCACCTGCTTTATATGTCTACTGCGAAGAATAATGATGAATAAACAAGAATTTGGAAACTTTAAGTCTTTTGTATGTGAAAATGTACTGCTGAAGTAGAGTCATTATAAAATGTAAAGTGTAAAATTCTAAAATTTAACATGTGTTATTGATAACTCATGTATATGTTAACCAGAACATGTGATGTGATGACTCTATTTTTTTCTATACATGTATATATACAGAGAATCTAGACTGCCTAGACAGCTATTTCTGGGATTCTAACTGGGCCTGTGTCCTGCGATTTTCAGGGTTACCAATTTACTTAAAAATCTGTTGATTTTATGAGAAATAGGTCTTTCACTATGTATTTTTATTGATATTGATACTGTTGATATAATTTATATAACATATTTATTACTTATATAAATCAGTTAATAGCTGAAAATAAGATACCATAATTGTTTTTAAATTTCTGATTTAATTTTATAACTTATACTAAGGCATAAACAGTCAACATGAAATAAATAAAAAACCAGTTTATATTAAGTCAGTATTTAAGTGTATCGTATAAATACATGTAGCGTAAAAATAGAGGCCATACTTAAAGACACTGACCTTTAATTAGAAATGATTTTCTAACATAGGAAAAGACATAATGGTGTTTTTTTTGGAGGAAATACAAAGAAAGCATCCTCTTTAAAAATATACACACAACTTGATCTTTGTCAATAGTCAAAGCTTTTGACAACTGATCTATTGTGCATTTTTTATAACTCACTTTTAATAATCTTTGGATGATGGTTTGAAAATACATGCTAAAGAAAATTTAGTAATTTTTAACTTAGTAAAGCTTGTGGCACCATTCTAACTAATAAGTATAATAAACTTTATAAATAAATATATTTATACAATTACATTCAAACCTTTTTTAAATACAAATTTCCACATAAAAGCTTTGCTGTTGCCCCATTGGGACAGTCAATATATATTTTTGGTTTTAATTAAAAACGCACAATGTATTTAAAAATCACATGGATGAAAAAGAATGATTAAATGGTACTTCAGGATTTTTGTATTCATAAGATTTAGCCATGAATTAGCATTTCTTTAATTATTATAGTGAACACCTTTGTGAAATGGAAAAAAAAAATTACTGTTTACTAAATTAACCAAAAAAATGAAATCTTCCCAAAGTGATACCTGTTGAGTTCTGGTACTTCTAGGTAATGATTGAAAGTTGGTAGGTAATTTTATGCTGTAATTGGTAGGGTTCTTCCCTTTTCCAGTAGTGGTAAATGAAGAATTTTTTTTTTTTTTTTTTTTTTTACTAACTACACTTATGAAGATCTATCTTAGAAGATGAATATTAAATATTGCAAGCCCATGACACTAATCTACTCAAACAAGAAAAGTAAGGCACAGTAAATGAGATCTCAGAAACACTGGGTATGTTTCCTCATTAAAAAAAAAAACTTTTTAATTAAACCATCCAATTTAACGTTTTTATGTAGCACTTTAGTTTTGAAGGTAAAGTGATCTAGAGACAGCTGACAAAGAAATTACAACGGCAATTCCTTGGTGAAAATGTTAATGACAGCAAAATATTGTTTAATTAGATGGCTGCGGCATCTGGATTAACACTCTTTAAGGGCGATGTTCCCGTGCTTGTCTGCTTCTCCGCACTTTACAGACGTTTTGTCATCTCTAGGTCATTAGGAAAGAATTTTTAATGATTTTTCTAGAAGCAAGTGGTTCAAGTTACATCTAATTAGATGACAATTATAAGCCCAACACAGGCAGTAGCTAAATATATACATAATTAACCAGGGAGGGCTTGTGCATCACAGAGCAAAAACGTGGAAATGCTAAACAGGAAGAAAAAGGGTGGGGGTGGGGGTGGGGGGACGTTGTGTGGAATTCATTAGCTGATCATATGAAAAACAGCTCAAACGTTGAAAAAGACTCTCAAACCTAACGGCATCATTTACACGAAACTGTGTTAGCAGTCACTCGGCTATTTTTTTTCAGTGCATGAATGCCAGATTTTAACATCTTGTTCATAGTGTTATCTAAGAAGGTATAAAATAAGGCACAGGTTGTATCTTGAACAGAAATCTGGTCAACCTCAGGAATTAGTGGTTGAACCCATATCTTCAGTCAAACTCTAAAGCATTGTTAAGATTCTACAAAATCTTCCAAAACTTAATATTCTTTGAATATTAAAAAAGGATGAACCAGGTGTTTCAGAAATAGTTAAATAAGTTACACCATAATCTTAAGTTAGACGTTCATGCACTTTTAAAAATCACGCCTTCAAAGAATGCTTCATGAAATCTAAAAGGTAGAATCTGAACCTGTATGTGTAGTGGGTTTCCATGATACACCACACACAGGGACAAAAGAGAAAACTACCAAAATGTTAACCAATATTTATGGCTAGACTTATGAGTAATTTGGTATTTTTAATTACACTTTTTTCTGTATTTCCAAGTTTCTATATTGAATACTTATTACATTTATACATAATAAAGACCATGACAACATTTGTGAGCTTTTTGGTATCTTTTATAAATAGTATGCTCCCTGAATATTGCAAAACTTCTTTTACTACGTAAAGTAATTTTATAAAACTTTACAAATATAGAGTATAAAATGCATGTTGACTTACATGCAATTGTGTTTATATACATGTATCTCATGGGTGTCTAAAAAAATATAATAATGCATTATACTAGGACACTGTTACCATATGCTTTGTAGAGTTTTATTTTTAAAAGCATCTAGAAAGGAGAAAACCAAAATTGGCCAAGTATGACAGACCTCAGTTAGGAAGAGAGTAAGAAATGGGTCATAAAATGTAGTTTGCAGTTCGTATTAAAATAGTATTTTTGAGAAAAAAGATAAACCTGAGAGTGTAAGACAGTAACCAGAATATTTTTATAGAAAATGTAAATTCGTTAAGTCACAGTGACCTGCATTTTTAAAAACCTATAGCCAGAAAAGATTGTTCCATCTTCTCGGATTCCAATTCTGTAACTTTTTCCTTTAACCCAGGAAATTAAAATAATCCTTCATTTAGCAGTTCTAGTGAATTCACATAATAAATCACAAAATCATGCAAACACTTACAAAGCATAGATAT